CGCGCCCCCCCGCGGCCCCGTTCCGCCCCCGAGCACGGACCCCGCTACAAACGCAACGCTTTTTCAAGAGGCCGTCAGGAAGTGTAACTTTTATTTTTTGGTTGAAGAGGCCAAAATGGAGCACGACAGCAGATGCACATTCACAGGCGTCCGCGTGAGGCGATCGGAGACTTCCACTCGTGCGCTGCGGCAGCGTGAGGCGGCCACGGCCAAGGACATGGAGGGTGGCAAGGAAGCCGCTCCACGCACGCAAGAGAGGGAGGAGGAGGAGGAGGAGGACAGTCACGATGAGCTCTGCCAGTTTGGATTCCACCTGACCCTGCGCCTCCTCCGCGGTCCATCAGCATTGTTCCAGCTACCGGATGTGCCAACACCTTCCTTCTTTCAGTCTCCGCTGCGTTCAAGGGTTGCCCTTTCCAAGCCCTTTCCATCTTCTACCGAACTATAAACAGAATCTTTTTGTCAAGTCTCCATTTGCGGTTTTCAGACTCTGCTACAGAGCACGGATACAGACGGTCTTAGCAGCAGTCTATGGCTAACAGACACTCTCTCCTCTCAAAGCACGGAGCATCCGCCTCCCCAGTGCTGTTCCACCGTCCCACGAATCCAACTGAGAACACGCCTCCCACCCCGCTCCCACCCCATACGCAAAGACAACACCAGCTACACATGCTTCCGCGTTAACCCCGTTTATCTTCACCAGAGGAGGCGTGGCACAGAGTTTACATTCCAAGTTACTCCCTAAAGCTTAAGGTGTTTCCCTACTGCTTTCTCTCCACAGAAAAGTCAGCTTGGTGACTTCTGTACCAAAACAGAGACAGTTCTTGGTGGGCACACTGCCACCTTTAAACACATAAGAAAAACAAAAAACGATTCACTAAGTTAGTAGCGGCAAGATCCCCAGAAAGAAAAAATAAAATTTACATCTCTATCCCATTTTGTTGTCAGACTGTTTGTTGTGTTCCATTTACATCATGACTAACCAGGTCCATTATAAAAACAAGAAAGTAACCATGAAATAAATAGATGTTGACACTAGTGGGATTTCAGGGGCATTATAATTCATCGTTTTTCCTGCTTTCTCCTCCAGCTTCTGTCATCTTCTCTTTTTTGGACCCTGTGTAAGGAAGTAGACTCAGTTACACACCCCAACAGTTTTTACAGCATACAAAGCAGCGCTGAAAGCCCCTGACATTCATTAGGTACTCTGCCAAACTCCCAGTCTCTGGTAGGGAAGGCAGAGGAATGCTTTGAGGACCGATACTCGGCGCCCAAGAGCTGAAGACATTACTGCCCTCCCCCTGTTGAACACCGCTGTCCTCACGACAGGACTGGCAGAATAAACACACGCTCGCACATCAGCTCTTTAACAGAGACAGGCTTACAGCTACGGGACTGGCTGTAAACCTTGCCACAGAGCCCCAATACACCGAGGCACAAAGCAGCTGCCGAGGCAGGCGGCAGCGGTACATCACAACCTCACGCTGAGCAAGGAAAGCGTAGGAACAGCCAGGAACCAAAGCTGATGCCTGTCTTTCTGCAGAATGAACAATTGCTTCGCAACTGGGGCTTCTACCGTCTTCCTACCTCCTACAGCCACAAAGATGGAAGGAAGCACACGGGCAGCTTGTGCTTGTAGCTACCAAGTTCCAGACCGTTAGTCAAACATTTACTCACCAGAGCCTGATCCAGGCTCATCATCTGTTGCTACTTTCTCAGCTGTAGGAGGTTCCTTGGCTGGACTGATATCCTCAGGTTTGTCTATGTTTAAAGCAGAAAGAAACAGCACAAAGTTAAGAGAGAATATAGAGGAGGTTAGGTGCGTAGAGATGAGGCGACCGGTGGTGAGGTTCACAAAAAGCCAGCTGCGGTGCCTCAGCAGGACTGCATTAATTCACCCTCACAGTGCATCTCTGGAGCACCCAGAGGAGCATCACAGAACTGCTCCTTATTTCTTGCTGCCTCTGTCTGCCCGGCTTTATGTCCCTAGGAGCCCTGGAGGTTCACTGGCTGCACAGCCAAGTCACCTTCGGAGCTATGACTGTGAGCTGGATCTCTTACCTGGGCCAGAGGAACCAGCAGGGAACTCTGCTGACAAACAGCAGTCTAGACTTAAAAGGACCAGGGCACTCAGAACCCGAGGATCTTAACACATTCAGAAAGCTGCAAGTCTTAGTGTCCCAAGATTCCCCCCCAGGATCCCCGGGGCCCATCTGAGCCAGAAACCCGTCTCATCAACAGCTCATTCTATTCCTTGATACAGTGCACGACCTCGAATACTTGTTGCTCTGGACACCCAGAACTGAATCAATGGCTTATCTTTCTCTTAAGGCAGGCAGGCAGGCAGCCAGCCACTGACTAACCATCCTAGGAAGTTTAGAAACACTTGGTGTTCCTTCACAGAAAAAACCCAAACAAACAAACTGGGGGGGGAAAGGACACAGCCATTTTCCCACCTAGATTTTCCCAGCTGCCTTTGAAAACTAAGCGGAGGATCATTTGATCCTACAGGTAGCTATTGTCTTTGCTTATTTAGCTCCCTTTCACTCAAGGCAGAGAGATAAGAGTGTGTTGCGCATCTAGCAATTATATACTGGAAGTTATATACATGCTCCCCACCTGCTCCTTACCTTCTTGTTTCCCCTCCGTGGGAGGGATAGTGTTCTCGGTCTCAGAGGCTGCTGTGGCATTCTTGCCTGAATCGGTTTTTGTGGTGTTCTTCTCCTTTTTGGGTTTGGGTTTTGCAAACTTGGCCTTATTCAGAAGGTACTGCACTTCCCTGTCCAGGGCTGCTATCTTGAGCTCGATATCTTTGGATAGCAGGATGGGTTTCTCAGCAGGAGAGAGCTTGTTCTGTTCAGCCAGGGTCTCATTCTTCCAGATCTGCAGGACAGGAGGGAAGAGGTGCTTTTCAGATGCTTTTTGGTTCCTGGAACCACTGTACATCACTGTATCTCAAAGTCACCACTTCTAACTTCGCAGGGAGCAGCGTTATCCCATGTTTCCACCAGTTTCTTATTTACCCAGACATAGGACAAAACTAAGGAACAGAACCCTCAAAACCTGGCACCTGCTTTCAAAACCTGCAGCCAGACTCCTGGGCTACACCTCCGCTCCCAAAGACAACTGTCCATGTGCAACACAAGAACTGTTATCCCCCCCAAAGCAGGCTGGGGTCAAGCCGGGCATTAGAAAACACCAAAACACAGAAGAGGTTTGCTGGTGGTGTGGAAACAAGACATGCACGTGCTATTCCATGGCCCAGAGTCAAAGTACACAACCTGCTACTTCGGAGAGGAAACACGACCCAAACTGCCACCCCCACCCTCCCCCAGAATCATTTGGTCCTTTATTACCGTTGTTTCATTGATGGCTTTTTCCAGCGTACTCAGTTCCACTTCTGTGAATATCTGGTCAGACTCTGGAATCATTCGGGCTCCCCTTAAAAGGCAAGAAGAAAGTTTTGTTTCTGCCAGACCAAATAGACTGTACCTTGGCAAGTTGGTGTTTACACCTCACGTAATTATCATCATAACGATCCCCTGCACATACCAACCAATTAGCACATTTTACATTTGTACAGCCTCTCGCATCTGCAGGGAACAGAGTCGTAAATCAGTCTCTGGGTGCTAAGAATGGGATGCAGAGACAGCAAACACAGCTATCACGAGATCAAGAAAGGAGGGAAGATAGAAAAAGCTAAGGCCGTAGGACCAAGAGGGAGAAATCTGCTTGCAGATGGTGCGTACAGCATCAGACACTTCCAGTCCCCCCCCAGTTCCAACAGAGCTTGCACACTTCTGTTAATGGGTTCTGGAGAACTGAGCACTAGCAAGGAGGGGTCCGCTCATCTTTTCTCAAGCGGCGCTAGTGACTTTCAGACTGCAATCGTTCTGGTCACGTTCTGTTGGCATCTCTTACGTTACCAGCGGCACGACTCTCCTTCCCAACAGTTTGCTCTTACTTGAGAAAGATGGTTGAGTGGTTGAGCAGACTTTCCAGGGCAGCCAGGCGTTCTGGCCACTTTCTCCTTTCCTCGACACGGAAGAAGAGGTTTCTACAAAGCTTTTTCAGCTCTGAAAGCTTGTCCTTCAGCTCCTGCAAATGGGAGAGAGGGGAAGGAGACAATTAGTTTGCCCCCTGTCTAACATTGTAAACCTCAGAAGTTAGAACCGCAGGTTTTGTCGTTAATCTCTATCAAAAATACCATTTCCATACAGTAAAAAAAAGCCACGTGTCTAAGCCATGTGCAGAATCAACAGGTTACTGCCAAAGCTGTTGAAGACGCACCCACGGCTGCAAGTACTTTGTTCTGTGCATAACGCACTGAGGAAGCGAGAAACTTCGAAGAGCCAGATTACAAAGGATCAAGATGGACCAATACTCTGTCAGCCTGCGTGGTCACTTCCACGTCGGCGATAGCAGACTGGTATCCCGATGACAAACAGCAATACCTTAGTTGTGGCTGCATAGCCCTCCTCTTCCATCCAGCTGGATGCCTCGCTAAGCTTTTTGGAAATTTCTTCTCTCTGCTCCTCCGTTGAGACAAACTGATACTCCTCTTGGTAAAGCTTGTCCTGAAAAGAACAAAGCAAGCACTCCCATCAAATACTGCTGAGCGTGGAAGCATAAAACAACCAGGTCACCCACTTGCAGCTGGCCTGGACTGAGAACTCCTGCGGTGCCGCCG